CTTAAGTTTTTGTTTAAACCAAAGATTTTCTTCTTTATTGAGTTTCTTGATAAAATTTTTATTTAATGATGAAAACCATAAGGAATTGTAAATTCATGTTAACTCATTTTTCTTTTTCAAGAATTACTACATCTTGAGTTTTAGTTTAAAACAAACATTGACTCCTTGAATTATGATTCTCGATGAAGTTTTACTTGATAATGAAATCGAGGACTTGATAAATGTTTTGAAGAGATGCAATTACTAATAACAGCCATTTTATGTTTAAAATTAAACCAATATACAGGAATTCTTGGAAATTTAAGAGAGATATCCTTCAAGTTTTTTTCATATTTCAAGAACAGTGTTCTTAATTTTGTTCTCTCTCACATTTCAAGGACTTGATGGCATTTTTAAAAGCTCAGATTTTCCGATAGCCAAATAGAACCCAATATCTCCATGTTGCACCCTAAATTTTTAAAATATTGATAAGATACATATAAGGAAGGTCTAGTACTTTCGAGAAGTCAGTCTTGTGGGGTATGTTTTGGTTCAATTCATTTTCAAAAAATCTTGTGTCTTGAGTTTTGGTTTAAAACCAAAGACTTTCCTCTTTCATTGAGTTTTTGGAGAAAATTTTTACTTAATGATGAAAACCATAAGAAGTTGTAAGTTCATGTTAGCTCATTTTTCTTTTCAAAGAATTACTGCATTGTGAGTTTTAGTTTAAAATGAACATTGACTCCTCGAATCACGATTCTCGATAAAGTTTTACTTGATGATAAAGTCGAGAAGAACTTGATGAACATTTTGGAGGGATACAATGACTAATATACATGAATTCTTGGAAACTCAAGAAAGATATTCTCTAAGTTTTTTCACATTTCAAGAACAATGTTCTTGATTTTGTTCTCTCTCATAAAATCTCTTGAAAATACCCAGTCTACTTTGATCTTTTTCAAAATTTCAAATTTTCTGAGAGCTAGATACAAGCCACTGTGCAGATTGCACCCAAAGTAATTAATCATTGATAAGGTTTCATATAGGGAAGGTTGAGTTTTTTCAAGGGGGGCCGGTCTTGTGGGTTTTGTTTGGGCGCAATTCATTTTCAAGAAATCCTGTCTTGAGTTTTTGCATTGGGTTTTTTCAAGAAAGTTTTACTTAATGATAAATAATTCAAGGACATGTGGATTCATGTTTAGCTCAATTTTTTTCAAGAATTAATGCATCTTGAGTTTTAGTTTAAAAGAAGATTGACTTCTCGAATCAAGATTTTCGAAAAAGTTTCACTTAATTATAAAATTGAGAAGGACTTGATGAATGTTTTGAATAGATGCAATTACTAATAACGACTAGTTTTCTGTTTAAACTAAAACTCAAGATGTAGGAATTCTTAAAAGCTCAAGAGATATCTTCTTGATTTTGTTCTCTCATAGAATTCCTTTGAAAGTACTTTGTCTTCAACTTGGTTCTTCAAAAGCTTGATTTTCTGATGCTAGATAGTACTCATTTTTTCATGTTGTAGCCAAGTCCAACTTTTCAACATTGATTAGATACAAATAAAAAAGATTCAGTTATTTCAATGGGTCAATCTTGTGAGCTGTGTTTTGGATTGATTATTTTCAAGAATATCTACGTCTTTACTTTTAGTTTAAACAAAAGACTGACTCATTGCATTGGGATTCTCAAGAAAGTGTTACTTGATCATAAGAACCATAAGACTTCTCTTTTGGCTCTTTCCATTTCCAAGAATCCTGCATCTTGTGTTTTAATTTAATAGAAGATTGACTTCATGAATCAAGATTCTCGAGAATGTTTAAATATAAAGCTTAAAAATTAGAAAGACTTGATTAAGGTTCTGAAGACATGCACTTAGCTAAAATAAATCAATTTTCTGTTTAAGCTAAAGCTCAAGGCGCAGGAATTCTTGGGGACTAAAGAGATGATCTTATTCTCGTTCAGTAAATCCTCTATAAAAATAATTAGTGTCAAATTTTTAGATCCTTTCAAAGTGTTGGATTTTCTGATAAGCAGATAAAATCTACTACCCATATTTCACCAAGAATCCGACTTTTTGACATTGATAAGATGCATATACCAAGAAATAAAGGAGTCAGTCTTTTGCGTTCTTTTCTGGCTCAATTTATTCCAAGAGATCCTGTGTCTTATTTATTATTATTATTATTTTTTAAAAAAGAAATCCTGCATCTTTATAAGATCCCCTGAAAAATGCTCAGTGTGTGATTATGTTCTTCCAGAAGATCAGATTCTGTAATACCTGATACAATCCGCTGCCTGTGTCGCACCCATAATTCTACTTTTCTACATTGATAGATCCAGTCCTATCTAGGTCTTGTGGGTTCAAATCATGCTTAGTTCATTTCCAAGAAATCTTCTGTCTGTAGTTTTAGTTTAAATGGAAAACTACCTCTTCGCATTGAAATTCTTGAGAGATGCAGTTGTCTTGTTTGTGCTCATCCTGAATTGCTTTTATCAACGTTGCTTTTTTAAGTCGCACTGGCATTATTGAATCACAGCTGTCTTGGCTATTGATAATGCAGCCTAGGCTCTTTGTTATGCCAGATTCTCTGCTTAGGGATACTGTTTCTCGTGCTTTGGAAGTTGGGTTTTCAGTTAACTCGGGGATGTTTATCTGTGCAATGTATACAATTAGTTGCCCAAGTGAAAAAATTTTGAAGGAAAAACTTGATTTGATTAGAATTTATGGATTTCTAGAGAATGAAAGCATGATGATGTTTAGAAGGGCTGGCTACTCATGACCTCGAAGGAGAAGTTGAAGTTAGATTCACAAATGTAGTTTGGAGACCTGACTTTTTTTAGGTGATGCCTTTAACAGAAGATGAGGTTATGGAGTTTATCTGTGCAAGGTTCAAGGTGATAATATGGAGGAGTTGTTGGTAGCCTTCAAATTTTATCTTTTCGATTTATCTTCTTCTTATGGGAGGAAGGCCCTTATTCTGCAGGTTTGCAAATAGTAGCTGATCTTACTGTCTATGCTCCTGAACTTAAATCTGGATTCTTATTCTGCTGTAATATCATTCTGAGACATAAATTTAGAATTAAATTGTTAATATGGATTGCTATGTTTGTTGTTTTTATACTTTGTTTTTATACAATGTCAGCCATTTGTTATATTGTGGAGATATTTTTTTCTCACTCCGTTCTCTTTATAATTCAGAACATCAAAATGAACAAGTCAATTGCCACTTGGTGGTATTTGAATTAAAATAAATCAAATCGACACACTTTGATCTTATACAACTGAGCTAGAAGAGAAAGCACATAAGTTTGCCAATGTGATTTTTATTATATTCTGTAAACTATGAATGTTTGATATAAAATGTACTTTAGATATCTTATTGTTACAGAAAACTCACTTCTATCTCCATGATAAAAAGCGAAAAAGAAGCTCAGAGAATCTTCTTAGTAAACGACACAAGTGATTTTTCCCCCTTCTTGTAATTGAAACGTCAAGTTAGCTTGTTTGCGTCAAAATTAATAAGCTGATTGGTGCTTATTTATATTGGTAGAAGAAACATATAAATCGGTGATTATCCGTATTAGAATCTAAATAAATCACATTAAAATAGTCTAAACTCACTATTATCAAGAAAAAAATAGTGGGATATAGTGATTGTTTATTGAACTTTCCAATTAATTATTACAATATTGTGTGTGACTGTTTTTATCTAAAAAAATATGTATTGCTTGAATCAAGTATTTGATCTTGGAATTTTTAACAATCAGACTTTTGCCATGGCAGGTGCAGTTGCATGGCAGGTTAAAGAGTATAATTAAAAGTCACGTTGTTGGGATTTTTCTGGAGGGGGAGATGGCTCACATTTTGGCTTGGCTTGACAGGTCAGAGTTCATTGTCCCATCATTAATGTTGGAATATTGAACCAGCAATACATTTAAAGAAATTTTGGCTTAATGATATCAGCGCAGAAGGTACAACCTATAATAGACTTCTATATAATGGCATTGATTATTTGTAATCCGTAACTTTTGAATTAGTCTGTTTAGAATATTTTAATTTTCATGAGTAGAGATGTCAGTTTCTATTGATGAATAACAATTATCAGACTTACAAGATAATTAATTATTATTTTATTATTATTACTGATGTTATATCTTTTTCTTATCGGAGCATTTGACCTATCTTTTTGTTACACTTTCTTAGAAATGCTTAATTTTAGAGTTTTCTATCTTCATTGCATTATCGGTTTGTTTGAATTATCCTGTTGACAAGAGGATACTTTTTTATTCAAAAGAGAGGTTTATACTATATTGTTGTTTGACAGGCAGTTGCTGAATTTTGAATTGAACCTATAATTTTTTAACAGTATGGCTATTAATTTTCAGTGTTCTAATCACTTGCCACCTTTTTCTTATCGGAGCATTTGACCTATCTTTTTGTTACACTTTCTTAGAAATGCTTAATTTTAGAGTTTTCTACCTTGCAAGTCTCCTCTCATATCTATCTACAACTGAGTCTCACGTCCTCACAGTTTTGTAACTTGCTCTTAATAGCACTCTAAGGTACTTTATTGACTTGATCTAAATAGGGAGTGACCAAAAATTTTCATTCCATTCCGTTTTTCAGGAAAAAAATTATATTAGATATTTTTCTACCGTAATTATCATAACTAAGAAAATCAAACTGTCATTAAATATTATTTTCTTTCATCAAAATATAATAATTCGCTGGAACAAAACTAAATTTAATAATCACAAACTTCATCAATATATTAATAAGTAATGTCATAGACACATTGAATAAAATATTATGAGTTAAATCTTATAATCTATCATATGCTTAAAAAAATGATAAAATATATATTTTCAATAAGATTTAAATGTGTAGCTTTCAAATGAAATGCTAAGATATTAATATATTTATATATCATTAGTTTTTTTTAGTACTTTTTAACATAAATTTTAAAATCCGCAACACCATAGGTAATATCTGCATCAAAAGCAATACCAGAGATTGTATATGGTAAAAAAAAAGATCCAGGATTCATAATTAATGACAAGTTATTAGCTTTGCTCCACCACGGAGAATGTGTGTATCAAAAACAACATCAGAGACTATATAAACAAAAGAAAAAAAAAATCAAGAGCTTTTCGTTTGTCTCATTTTACACCCTTCCAGTCCATTTTCCAGCCAAAATTCTTGTCATATTTATTATCCTCCATAAACAAATGCAAACTGGGGAGAGAGAGAGAGAGATTAATTCTCACTTCCAAATTGCTTCTGGATGTCCTTGAAAGATATGGTGGCTGATCCCCTCCTTTTTGCCTTCTGTTGCGATGGATGCTCCTTCCATCCAGTCATATAAATCACCTATGAAGTATAATGAACATCACATACGGTCCTAGGACATTATATCAATATGGATATATTCTTCTATGTCTTTAAAAGTAGATTAGTGTATATAACTCATGACAATAGTTCTAGAGCAATTGCTCTATATATTATATATATTTTCTAGGCACAACACGAAGTAGAATTTGAACTCAATTAATCAACTCTAACAAAATATGTAATGTGAGCCACAAGCTCTCGATGACTATCATGAATATTTTTATTGATGTTTAGATAAACTAGAATTAAGGAATTCCTCTTTTGAATCATAGTCCAGACAATGAGACTTATAAGGATAAAGTCTGCTCTTGGCTTTTGACTATTATACAAGGCTTCCATTCAGTTTACAGAAGTTTGAGAACAGTCTAACAGCATAAAACTCTTGTAGGACCTAACTGTTTCAAGCCTAATCTCTTATTTTTTCAGAAGTTAAATACAGAAGTTTCTAGTAGTGATTGGCTAGAATCCTTATAACATTTGTCTACCTTTTGGTCATTGTCTTATTAAGGAGAAAAGAGGTCTGCATAAACAAGATAATACAGCTTCCAACTGATTTAATTCTTCAATCAACCAGAAAATTTCCATATGTTGGATCACTAGTGTTGATCTTTTGGAGAATCTTTTACCATCCATTTAAACCAATCTAATTGAGGAAAGTCTTATTAATAGATGGAATTTTATAATGCTAAAACTTTAGATATAGCCCAAGAATACTAAAAAATAAATGGTGCACTTCTAAAAATTGTTTGACACTAAAATCTTACTTATTCTCTATTTACCAGTACAGCAGTAAGCACCAAAGTTGAGAGCGTATATTTCATTTCTCCTAAAATATTATTTTGACAGGATTTTTTTGTGTCACCTGGAAGGTTGCAGGCACGGTGCCATCATCTGCTGCAAACATTGACTCATAAATGGCTGCAGTTGCCAAGGCTGTTTCTCTCTTCAGAATCTGTTTTTGTCAAAGAAAAATTTCCAAAAAAAGAAAAAAATTTGAAAAACCATCCACTCCTAATTCTTAAATTGAAAAAAAAAACTAAAATATTTATTGAAATGAAAGAACAGTGTTATAGAGAATAATGCCTCACCTTGTTCCTCTGTAGGAGAGCATTAGTTTCACCCATTGCTCGCAGATGATCTATCAAATCTAGAGCTACAACATGTGAAGGGAGAAAATGAGGGAGAGAAACAAAGAAGAGAAGAAGAAAAAGGAAACAAAACGAACTTCAAAATGACAAATAAACAATTTCATGAAGATATGAATTTAGACTGACTTTGTAGGTCAATCACTAATCTTAAAATATTGATGCAAAAGACGATATATCCGAGGCTACAGTTTCATTCTTCATACAATATCTCATGCAGCTATAAACGGTGCGTGGGTTGGTTTCTTTATTGGATAATCCTTTAAGCTGATTCTGACGGGAAAAAGAAGCTCTAAAACGACTAAGAGTCATATAGGGCTTAAATCAAAAAGAAAAAACTAGTGAGACCAGTTTTTCTTTTCATGGCTTTAATTGGTATATAAGAAGCTTACTTGACCTTTTACTTCTCGAAGAAGAAAGGATCATTTGAACAGAAGTTTAAACCAAAATACCCCATAGCAACTTAAAAATTAAACTCTAATAACTTTTTAACTGGAAGATTAACAAATTGTCTTTTTTCATTAAACTCTAGTTTTACCAAACCCTTCATAACTTAACAAAGTCTTGATGTTAGAAAAAAAAGGTCAAGCATCAAAATAATTTCCTAAGTTATATGAGCTTAAAGCACTAAACAAAAGTCCAACCAACCGCCTTCACAATTTGAAATAATGGAAACTTTAATTTCAATGTAGGTAGTTTAATAATGAGAATGACTGACATAGTCAAACTGCAAGGAAATGCTTACCACTCTTATATCTAACTACGTATTCATCAACGTCAACACCAGGAAGGGTGAATCCAGCCCTAGTCAATAGATTGCCAGCATCCCTCACCTAAACAACATAAACAAAACATGCTTAAAGCCGCAGAGAGGATGGACTTTGTTTTCTATAATGAGAACAGACAATTTAACAGTGCATAACAACACGAGAGTATCTCTACCATCCACACAATAAGTTGTATAAGGATCAAGGCTGAGAAAATGTTTGACCACAAATCAATAAACCTAATTATGCAGGATGGTGAATATGCTAAAAGCATACTTTTAAGTCTTAGGAAATATTTAAAATGATAATTATGTAATTCTTGTAACTTGTTATGTCATTCAGGAAATATTAGCTAAACTTACAAGTTAAGTATGTGGCACTTCATTCCTTGTTTGTCATAGGAGCTATACCTTTATTTTGATGGTTGCTTGTATGGTGGCAATTCCCAATTGATCCAAAGTAGCTGCTACTCCCGATTGGTCCAAAACCGATGACAATTCTTTATTGACCCAAAGTTATAAATACCTTTTATTGGTCCAAAGAGGTAAGACCTCCTTATTGACCCAATCTGCAATACACTTACTATTGGCCAATTTTGCCTCCCACCTTTACAAAGCATATGTGTAATGCAACATCAAGAATTGGATTTTGGAATGTAAACTGTTGCATACTACTTCCCTATGTTCTAATTTTTCTGCATTCTCTTCTACCCTGTTGTCTTCCTATTTCTCTCTTTTTTTCTCTGTTTTTTCTCTCTTATTGAAGTCCTCACTTACTTCCTATTCTTCTGTTTCCAAACTTTATTAACCTGGTATTGCCAGTACCATACTAGTTAGGGATTATGTGGCATGGGAGTGTATGAAACGATAAATAGTTGTAACCAAGATACTGGCAGAAAGGATGTAACTAGAAAAGACGGGGCAAGAAGTGAATTTCATCCAGAGCTAATCAGAAAGTAAATGTTGAAAGAAAAATGAAATAAGCAGCAACATTAGAATTTTGAAAAACATTATAGTATTCTCTGGTGGTTATCCTTTTCTTTTTCTTGTTGGAACTTAATAAGTAATCTATTCCCATACGTACTTGATTCTAAAAAGTCCACATGATTTCTATAGGTCGACTGTGTTTGCTAAAACAAAGATTTCCATTTCTAGTAATCGTTG